AGCAATCCACAATATAACTCATGGCCATGGTGCTAGAGGGGGTGGTTTAAGTGTTTGGTGTTAACCAAGTGCCCAGTGGTTTATTACAGCTATGTAATAAACGCTTATAAATACCTTAGGAATGTGAAATAATAAGCCAGGCACCTGTCCATTCAGACTAGGAACAGAAGGATTGGTGTTAGGTGGGTATAAAAGGAGTGATAATAAAATATAACCAGGACTTAGCAAACAGAGGGGGTGGGAGAACAAAAACCAACCAGGAGGTAAAAAAAAAAAAACAACCAAAAAAACCCCACCAAAAAAACCCCAAACAAAAACCACAACAAGAACTTTTGGGAAGTTAACAGAGCTTCCTCGGAGCCTGTTCTGTGTTCAGCCCCTGCCATACACTGCCTGGGCAGGTGCTGAGACCTAATGATTTCAGTGCTGTGCTGCATACTGCCCCACCAAATCCCATGTGGAAGCTGTCCTACATCAACCTAGCTGCAAAGTTGGGTTCTAACATTATATTGCAGATTGAGCTGCTGCCGGGGAGAGAACATCCTCATCCGAAGGGTCATTTACTAGAAACTTTATGGATGCAAGAGCAGGGGAGGGGGGAGCTTGCTTTTTGCATGCATATGCCTGAAAAGTTTCTCAGTATTTGGAAAGCTGCTCTTCACTAGTGATTAATGAACTATTATTAGTATTTGAATCTCTGAAATAATTTTGTGTCTTGAATAATTTAAGATAGTGAGATTTCTCTAGTAGGATTGCACAGTGTATATTTTAAGTATGTGGTGCGTGCTTATTTATATTCTGTTTTGTGCCAGATATGACTTAAGACAGGATGCTGAGTAATTCTTTGAGGACAGTAACATGAGGTCTTGTTGCCCACTTGTCCAAAGGAAGATGACTTTCCAGGATCATAGCTAAAATACTCTTATGTGGGCTGAGAATGACAAACCCTTTTCTGGCTACCTTTTTACATTAATTAGTTTTTGGACCAGTGTGATGCTTTTCTGTTGCATGAAACTGCGGCTGGAAAATCTCTTAAAGTTACGAAACCTTTATTTGAGCTTTACTGAAAAATGCAGATTTTTGCTCCCAATTAATTGGTTTTCTTGGGCAGAAGGAGACATTGGAGATATTTTAATATAGATGGCCTTGGGACTTCCTTTGGGATTAAAGATTTTCCTCTATTTTGTTTGTTGTTCCAAAATTGTCATTGTAAAACCTGAAGAAAAAAGCAGAGGCTTGTTTGCAGTGTTTAGTGTCTGGAGAATATTATCATTTTTGTTCTGCAAATGCAATCCCGAATGGATCCGGAATGTGTTGTATCACGGCTGTTTTATATACACAAATGAGTTTACATTTTGGGTTTTTTTTACATTTTTACATTCTGTTTTGTGTGTGTTTTACAATGCTGTTATTTCTGATATGAAATATTACATTGTGTTCATTGCGGGAGCTAAACCCAAATCTTCAATCTGAGCAAGATACCTGTGAATCAGAAATTTTCACTGCTGTGTCATGGGATTGAACATGCATCAAGTACCGGTTCAAGACAGGTACTATTTTGGTGTCTGTCTGCACTCCCGTTTAAGATACTGTTATCTGCTAGGGTGTGGGGAATGTCAGTTGTACGTTCCTGTTTCAGTTCCCATGGAAATTACGGAGCTCTGCGATGGGACCCTCTGTGGGGGGGTGGAGCTTTGAGATAGATTGCCCTGGAGGTCTGCTGACAGTGAGCTCCCTAAAGAGCAGAAAGGCTTTTCAATTCTCAAAAAAATTGGAGCAACTTAAAAAGGAGTCAATCAAAGTTAAGACAAAACAACTAAAGACATCATAAATCCCATGTGTAGGATTGGTGTTAGGTGTGAGCTTCATGTGGTGTAGGTGTCAGCTTCATGTTAGCATGGCTCAGACTTTGGTTTTCAGGCTTGGTTTCAGGGCTGCCTGGGTTTCACACCCTCTAGCCTGTAGGATGTGTGTCTCTGCCACTCACGTGCTGTGGTGCTCCCTGTCTGCTCTCCACTGAGTCTGTCCTCTTCACAACACCCTCGCCTAGATTGAGCGGTGGAATTATAGATGTAGGTAATTGTAAAAGACCTTTGTTCGTATATTTTCTGGTCAGCTTCTTTATAGTCTATCTTGTATGACAGTCCACACCAGTTTTAAGTCTTGTACTGAGGCGTTTTCTAGTGGTTTGTTCAATTTTCATCTTTCCTTTAAATTGAGTTTACTGTTGTAGAGCAGAGATGACTGTTAAAAGCCATGTTCTGTTTTCTCTCCCTTTGAAGTATGAAGGAGTATAAAATATCACTGGCCTGTTTGGTTTATTTACACCAGGTTCTTAATTATTTACTGCTTCTTACAGGTATGTGTGAAACTTGTCTGCTCTCTGATCTTAAACTACAAAACCTACTATGTTAAAGGTCCTCATCATTTAAAATACCCTCTGCTTCTCTTCATAGGCATTTCTCATTTCTGATTAATAAGTGCTATCAAAATCTTTTTCTTGTCTCTAGTTCATAAAATGCAAACCAGATAGGTTTGCATGACTTTGGCAGCTAAGGGATCTCATTTAACTGTTGAAACAAAGTTTTACCTTTTAAATTCCTCCATTCAAGTTGATACTACAAACCTCTACTGAAAACAGGATGAAAAATTCTGTGTCATGGACAGGTCAGAGAGTGCAATCAGCTTTTCAAAACAATATAGACTGTGTGTTGTGACAGTTGTTCCACTGCACTTTTTTCCTCTGTCTTCCTCCACTTGCTTTCCTTTCCTGAGCAGATTCATAAGAAGCCTTGACAGAGACTACACTTTTATGCTTTGCTTGTACGGATGGAAATTCTTGACCAATTATCGAGCTTTTACAAATCCTTTTTATTACCTTTTCTTGGAAAGAATTGAGACATCCTATGTGGTCTAGCTGCTGTGCTCTCTCCTTTACCAAAAGCTATGGGCTAATTTCAGCCAAACTTGAAAAAGCGCAGCCTTCAGGCTGTTTTGTTTTTTAAAAAAAAAAAAAAAAAAGTGGATGGCTGGGTGAAGAAAACCGAGCTGAGTGCTTCCTGCTGCAGAGCAGTGGACAGAACTCACCTTCCGTTATGGTCCAGCTGGTCGGGTGTGTTGGAGGAGAGCATGCACGAGGAGAGAAAAGGCTTCCTTTGGATTAGTACTAATACAGTGCAGTGAGCTGAGCTCTTCTCAGATTTGCTGAAATAATTTTTAGCAAATTATCCTTCCTCTCCTGTGCAAGAGTCAGGCATCTTGGTAGTAAGAAAGTTGGCATAGTTCCTCCCTTTAGACCAAAAAAAAAAGCATGCATTAATTTGTGACCAGGCTTTGGTGAAGTGAGTATAGGAAGAGTACAAAGAATAAAAGGTTACAGATGCACAGGGGAGGACTTAATAATTTCTTCAACAAATGAAAAATCATTCCCAGCATAGATATTTTAGGTAAGCTTATTCATACATTATGCTAAAGGATGAGGAACGCCAAGCAAATTCTTAAAGAAATTTTTTTCTGCTAGACATGAGAAATTGTTCCATACTTCTGCATATCTACTTATCATAAATAAGATTCTAATCTTGGATATCCTTCCAGCAGAGAGGCATTGCTCACCTGAATTGCAGGTGACTTCTTGGGATGACCCAGGCCCTTCCTGTCCAACACAACCTGGGGGCTGTAAACTGTGCAACACTTGCCTACAAAATTTGGGTTACAGCAGAGTACCAACTCACTTGCCTTGATGTTACCATGACTGTTGCTGGTACCCTCCTGAAGGCTGTACAGATAGAACTGAGTTCTAAGGTGAGAATTTTTTTTTTTTTTCCTGAAAGCAACTTTACACTAAAAGGTGGAGGGACTTGGCTGCGACAGAGATGCTGTTGCTCAAAACCGTGTATACCGGTATAAGTAAAATAATGTGCACTTGTGAGTGCTCATTCTGAGAAAACCAGCTCTGCTCTGGTGTCCAGTTTACTTTCTTAGCACAGTCAGGGGTTTCTGGGGAAACAAAAAAAATCAGCTACTTTCTAGAAAAGAATAGTTCTAATTCTGCACATACTCTAGTTTTCATTCTTTGTTTATACTCTCAGAATATTTTATATGTATTAGATCTTGGTATCTGACATGTTAAGACATATTAAGAGTCCTCCTAAACAGGAGTTTTTCCACACAAAATCTCTTTCCACAGGCAGTTTCTCCTCTACAGGGGAACCAATACCCCCACTACTGTTCTGTACAGCAGGCAGTGGCACTTGTACCAGCACAGCAGATAAAAATGTAAGAACTTGTAGAAACGGTAAGAAAGTAATTGCCAGTGGGCCGGAGGCAATACAAGATGAATGCTGAAAGTCACTTTTTTCCTTAATGTGAAACTAGGTAACCACTGGTACAAGAACTTCAAGGGTTTTATTGGCAGCGGTTTGTTATACCACTGAGGCTTCTGGCAGGGGCCAACACAACCCAGTCAGTGTGTGGCAGTGCAGGGGTGCAGCTCTGGAGGCCATGAGGCACAGTCACCCCTCAGCCCTTGTGTTGCCAGGCCTGGCGGCTCCACAGCAGTGTTCCAGCAGTTCCCAGCTGCAGAAGGTGGGTCACTGCTGGCAGCGCAGGCAGCTGTGCTGCTGGACATGCTGCATACAGTGCGACCATGTTCCCTTACAAGAGCTTTAGCTTAACTTCATTACCAAATTCAACTGTTTGGTAATTTCTCCTAATAGTAATTGCAGCGTTTAAGCATGTTAAGTGGTGTAGTTTGCTGCCTTTGGGTTTTAGGTGCAGGGAAAAAAATTTCACACAATTACTGAAGGTACAGCAGTATAGACAGTATCATTGAATCTACTTTTAAGAGGTTATAAAGTAAACATGTAGAATGGCTTGAGATAGGCCTGTGACTTCTGAAGAAAGATTTTAAGTAATCCTCCATGCCTCTGTATCAGCTGTTTTGGATGTGTATCATCAGATGTTTGATAGATAAAATTCAACTTCTTTTGCTTTTGTTTCAGAGACTCATGTACTGGAATAATCCAGTATGAGAAGCCTTCCTGAGCAGAACAGATTCTGGCACTCAGCCCACTGTTGCCTAAAGTTGGTTTTGGAGAGCTAAAAATCTCATGACACTGCAGCATGTTAAGGAGCAAGGCAAAAGTGAACTGCAGGCACTTCAAACATAATGGAAGACTTTATAATAGTCTAAATAGAGTTTTTATGTATCGTGGCATTGTCTTTGTGTGAAACCTTGCCTGTAGCCCTTCAGTTGTACCCTGACTGTTTTGGACTCCGCCTTGCATAAAGCCAAGGTAAAAAAGCTGAAAGAATAACAACATTGTTTGATTTTGAATGTTTTTAGGCAGACTGTGATTCAACTGCATTTGACCATAGAGTTGTTTGTGTGGTCACTCTAGGTCAGTTCAGGTACACCTGAAAGCTGTTCTAGGCTTCTGCCATTTAAATATGAATGGAGGTGGGAGTCTTTCTTCCAATTTCACATGCAGTACTGTGATTACATGTGAGAGGAAAAAAAAAATTTTTCTTTAGACTTCCAGCTGTGCTGGAAACCGACAGCAGTTTCAAGTTTTATGTGCCATTTTTAGATCAGAATTTGATTACTGACCATGTGGCTTCCTTAAAGTGATAATTGTGCACCTCTCAGAGTTGAACCATGTTGTATATTTGGTTACATTATCAAGAATTGTTTTAGGATTTACCCAAGGAAAAGTTTGGACAGCTTCTACCTGTAAACTCCCTGTAAAGAGAGTTTACTGCAGGCATAAGTGTGCTCTATTTCCATCACTATAGAAGACACCCAGTACAAATGCTGAGCACTTACTCTTACGGAGGAAGGACACGTTTCATTCATTTATAGGAAGAGCTTTACCTTCTCAGGAACTTTTCTTCCTCAAAATAATGTGCTATTTTTATAGTGAACTGAATACCTGGCCTTTTAACTTAAGCACCTCTTGTGGTTTTTTTGCCATTTCTCTACAGCATTTGTGATAAAGTAATGAAAAACAGTATGTCAGGAGACTTGTATGTACACTGGGGTGTGTAAAAAGCAGGGTGTTTTCCGCTTCTGCAACATTTTCAGAAATCAAGATATGTTTTTGGTTCCCCCCCATCACCCATGTAAAACCTTAAACATGAAGCTGAGAGCGCCCAAGCTGAAGTACCTATTTCAGGTGAGCTGCGTTTCAGGCAGAGGCAGGTGCCTCACAAAGTCCCTCTAGAACACTGCTCAGCAGAAGCAGGGAGGTGCTTGGAACGTTACAGCTGGACCAGCACAGGACTAAAGCCACTTTAGGAGTCGATTTTAATCTTGTACTTGCAAAAGAGGCAGCTGCTGGCACTGTGCCTCAGCCCCTCCCCACACAGGACTGCCAGCAGCAGGTAACCCAGGGAAAAACTCCCTCCTGGAAGTGCAGCAGCCTGGGCCCAGGAGAGCTCCACACTGCTCCAGCACTTGGCTGGCAGGGCAGACCACCGCCCCCTCACCTGCAGCATGGTGTCCCTCAGGCAGCCAGGGCACAGCAGCCCCCAGACTGCACATGAACTACGGAGAAGGTCAGTGTTAAATGCAGGCATGCTGAGGAATCTATGTATGTACAATTTATTTAAAATACTTTTTAACATACATATAAAAACCCTTCACTATTTATACAGTCTAAGTTCTAGCAACATATACAAATACTGAGCAACTACAAATACATGCTGAGGTAAGAACATACATTCTGGGAGAATACTCAAGCCAAACAAGATTGAAATACATTTTATATCCATATGTCTTCACATGTAGGAGAGACCCATTAGATACACCTCTGCTTTTACTGTACACAGAGAAATTCTAATCTCAAGTGTGTTCTCATGCAACTTAGATTTGGGAATCAACTTTTAAGTCTGCAGCATACATTCTAAACCCAACCATTACATACTCAATTTTTTTTTTCTTAGCCCTAGCAGATAACATGTTCAAAATTAAAAGCAGGGAGCAAAGCTTGAGACCAATTTCTTTCAGAAAAGGGACTTAAATGTCTTAGAAACATTCTTAAAACCTGTTTTATTCTTACACCAATCTTAGCCTACAGTATATCCACAGTTCTACCATACCTGGCCTACACTAAAAATTATATCTAAATGTGTTAATTTTACTGACTTGAACATCTCTGGATAATTTTTTTTAAGTGTAAGCTGGTACAATTTGAGAATGCAGAGGTTTCTTAACTCCCCTGGAGTAAGTAGGTCACACCTTGGTGCAAACAAATAACCTCCCACCCCTTTCAAATAAAATCAGATCACATAATTTCAAAGTCATAGCTGCTGCTGACAAGTAAGAACACTTTTACCTGTTTAAGCAAAACTACAAAGATTGCAGACTAACTTTATCAAGCAGTTGCAGTAACATTAGAAGTACAACTGAATAGGCAGAAATTTCATTTTTCATGAATGAGTCTTATATGCCACCCTTACTTATAATAGTCACATTTAGGCTTAGACAATTTGGGAAAAAAATTCTCAACAAATGAGAATGAATGATCAGAAAATTATAGAATTGGGCTTTAAGGTAACACAGAGTATGCAAAAACATATTCAAAATGTTGAACAGGCTACCAGTAATTTTAGATTATGGAGTGTGTAATTTGTGCAAACAAATTTTCAAGTTACAAGTTCAGGACCCTGTACTGGTAATGCAGATGGCCCTCTTGAACCATGTTTTAGTTTCTCCACCTAGTTTAAGGACCCTGGGCAAGAAACAAGGCTGATTTCTGTGCTATATTCAAGTCAAACAGTAACCACTGAACTCCAAAGAACTGGGCTGATGTTTAGCTAGGGGGGTTTCACATGTTATAAATTAATTCAGCATCCTCCCAACAGTGCTGTTATAATAAAAATATTTTTATTGTGTTTTTGTTCTACTACTTAGGTTAAAAAGCTGTGCTTTATTTCTAGTGAGATAAAAAATGGCAAATATGACATCCCACTTGTTTTTATTCTGTGATTACTTAGCTAAAACTAGTCTACATTATCCCAAGGAGAAGACTGACTACAATGTTTTCATAGCAGAGAACATTGCAACATTCAAAGGACACAAATTCCATTAATCACTTTTGACATGGACACTCTTTTGGAGCAGTAATGGTCCTTTTGCAAAAATGTTTTGGAATCTTTTATACTGTTAAGACCTAATCCTAAGAAAAGCCCTAAGGCTGAAGTTTTGTGCTAAAAATGTACCGTATGTGCTAAATGCATGTCTAACACAAACTGCACCACTGGAGTGTTGGTGTGCTTCCTTAAGCTCTCACAGAAGTATATACATACCCTTCTTTGTGTAAGCTCACGTCTTAACACACAACAATAGAGACCAGGGGGACAGGCAGAGCCTTTCTGATCTCAGCCACCTCAAACACCTGGATGCTTCTTGCAGCTGGACCATCAAGGGCAGTCTGGATTGGAGAGCAGCCTCCACTTAGAAGGGAAAATTAGAAAAGCCACTGCCCTGTAGTTTGCTCCTTTGACTTAGTCTGTGCCTCCTGGATCCCTCAGAAGGAACAAGGCTGAGTGGCTTAACAAGATGAGGCAGAAAACAGATACTAACAGCGAGCAGGTTCCAGCCCTGGAGCCTAACAGAAAGGGCGGGAACTTTCTGAGGAATACACAGCTGACGATTCCTAATCCTGAGAACAAAAACTGAAGTAACAGGATTTAGAATCAAAACTATTTCATGCCATGAAGTTAATGGGACTTTGGCCACCAGTCCTGACAACAGTTTTCACAGTCCAAAGTTGTACAGGCATTTTATAGGGTAATATGAATTCCAGAAGCTATAGTGCTGACATACAGATCTTGGAAAGTTAGGAGGCTCTAGGTTTTGGTTGGGTTTTTTCCCCAAAAAATAGTACCGTTAGCAAGAAATTATTGGTTTTCATACTGTAAGCTGTTTCTCCCAATTTCTCATTCACATCTATGAGTTACTGAAGCTAATCTCAAAGAGTTCTTCTCTCATGTCTGACAGACAATTGTACAGTAGTAATTAGAAAGGCCACGGTTTTGCAGGAGACAAGCTGTTACAGATACACACAGCTTGAGGAAAGGCAGCATTACTGGCTCCCCAGGCCTCCAGGACCCCATCTTTTGGTTCAACACTGCATCACTGAAGACTAACAATACCAAAACTACACAATTAAGAAATGAAACTGTTAGCTTTATGGAACCGGCTTTCACAAATGGGCCGTCACTCCACCTTACTCGTGAGCTAACTGGGCTCGTCCTTGCTGCTTGCGGTGGGGGCCAGGCTCTGCGGTACCTGGTACACCAGCTCAGCAGCAGCCCCCAGCCCCGCCTGCCCCTTGGGCGTGTCGTACAGCGCCTGGGGGGGCGCTGCACTTTCTGTCCGAGACGAGAGTTTGCTGTGAGTTCCAGCCAGCGGCGGGGCTTGGGCCCCTGCAGCTTTGAAGGTGGAGATGGATGGAACACCCAGTGGCGTGCTGGGGTGGCTGGACATGTCCATAATGATGGGCGTGGCATACTCTGGTCCCATTATAGGCAGCGGCTCAGCATAGGCATGGTAAACTTCTGGAAGGGGCGAACTGTAAGGGTCCAGATTGGCGTAACTTGCTTCTTTGCCTTCCTCGGGTTTGAAAGTTGATCTCTGATGAAGCGTGCCGACAATTCCCCCCACCAGTGGCTGAGCATACTCTATGTTGCAAGCCCCAGCAAAACAAGAACAAAAAACACACTTAATGGGTTATTTTTTTTTCTTTTACAGTGGCATCACATTAAATACAACCTGTCAATAGTGTGACAGAAATCATTATGTCAGGTTTATACTGCTTCCCTTGTGAGCTGCCATCCCCATGCTGTAATCTGCCTCAAAACAAAGTTTTTGAAGTGTTCTTCCCTGCAAAATTAGATTTAAATGAAATTATTCTGCCTGGCTTTGGATAAAAAGTGGTCCTTGGGGTTGTCCTCTGAGGGGGGGAGCCTGCATGCGGTCAGCTGGGATACAATCGGAGATGCAAAAGCCAGAGGTGGGGAACCTGGCCAGCTGGGGGAGCAAGGGGATTCCAACGGCTGCACTCCAAGTACTCCTGCTGCCATTGAGGAGGGGGTGTCTGCCACTGACTCCTCCTCTGCTGACCCCAGGAACAATTCAGCCATATGGCCAGTGTAGGGAATCAGACTGGGACATGGAGAGAACGGGGTCAAATTATTTCCCATGCACTGAAAACATAACCATGGGGTTTAAGAACAAGTACAAGGAAAGAAACGTTCCATTACTACATTAACTTGGGAAAGTGCCAATCCCCAGCGCATCAAGTCAATGAGCACAGCTCTAGTATGCAGAACAGAGCTGGAACAGCCTGCAGTTTAGGAAATGCACTTCCCAACAGAACTATTCACTTCTCTGTTCCCCAAAACACAGGCAATAATTAAATGTAGCCAAATTCCTGACATATTTTGGCATGTCATATATATATAATATAAATTTATGAACATATACACATATATATATTTCACATGGCCCACAGACCCGGTAAAATGTACCTGCAGACTCCGTCTGTAGCATTGTTGGGACTTCTCTTGGTCTCAGGTGACTAATTTCACTGCTGCTGTAGCGTACAGGAGTTTCTTCATGTTCTGCCGATTTGGTTGGGAGAAACTGCTTCATCCCTTTCCACCATCCTTCACATCGATTTTGAAAAACAGAACACCCAAGACTGCACGTATGCTGCATTTTAAGCTACTAAAATATTTTTACATCACAACTTGTATTTCTCAGTAGCAGGTAAACAAGTCAACCATCAGTATTTGCATGGCCCTGAGGTTACAGGGTACTGTGACACTTTTCTGGCAGAGCAAGGATGCGGAGGTGATAGCATTGCTCTCACCCACTCGGCCTGGCTGCACAAGGGCTGGGGTTCCGGGGAGCCCACCCCTGCATGGCCAGTGGCCACACTGCTGCAGCGACTCAGCACACTGAAACAACTCAGAATAAAACCGTGTTGTTACCTGCACGATCCCAGTAAGGTAGATCATAGGTGCCTTCAGTTTTTTTCTTGCTGTGGGGAAAAAAAAAAAAGCATTTTAGCTACTCTGGTAATTAATGCTCAGCAACTATCACCTTGGCTATAACTGGCCCTCACTCATATTTACATTGTAAGCACCAGTAACCTGTCTTGCCATCACCAGTCTGCTGTGACTAGAGAAACCAGTTCTCAGTAAAAGCACTTCTCATGACAATAGTTACAAAAAGCTGTTTTCACTCTCCTCAAGTGAGCATTTTCTCACAGACAATTCTGAAAACAAGAAATCCTTCCGAAAGGACCGTGTAGTTCCCACACATGCAGCGTTTCACTCCCACACACCAGGCTAACAGTCACTTAAAGCACTTTCACAAATCCGTTCATTTACCGGTTTCTCCAATGCCAGGCACAAACTAAGATAAGAATCAGAGTCGTGAAGACCATCACCAGCACTGGAACCAGAACTGCTGCCAATGCCACATCTGAAAGCCATTAAATTAAGTGGTGTCAGACAGAAGAGCTTCTCATAAAGCACTTTTTAATGAGAAAATAACTTGGGTGAAGCAGATAGTTTTCGCATACAGTGCCTACCACAGCAGCTCCCCCCACTAAACTGTCCTTGCTGGATGCTGCCATCCAGCTCCTCCACACATGCACAGCTGGCATTTCTGCAAGGCCTTTCATCAGATCAACAGACTGGTTTCACAGAAGTAAGATTTTCCTGGTAGAACAGTGCATTTTATTTACAAACAAGGAAAATCAGAAGAGCCCAGGAATAGGCAACCACTCAAGTCTGAGCCTCCTAAAGGAAGTAAATAAAGAGCACAGTACCACATTAACTGGTAACAGTTAATCCCATCACTCTGCGCTGGGTCTGCCCCGGCCCCCACCCTCCAAAGGGCACTTCCCAGTGCCTATACCCAGCCCGCTCCCCTTTGTGACAATTTTATTTGATAAGAAAATGATGATGCCAAGTGATGTTTTCCGAATTTCATGCCAGTGTAACTGTTCCATAAAAGCTTTGTCAAAAGGGTTTTGTTATTTAATTTGGTAATTTCTTAGGACAAAGTGGTTACATCTGATTAATTCTGAAGGGAAGTCCAAGCTGCAACTTCTTCTTCTGACCAAATCTGTTCCGTAATTAAAAGCTGAACTCAGCTTGAGCAAGTTTTGACAGAACTTTATATAACCATGACTTGGAAGATTGGTTTTGTTTCTACAGGCCATATACAACTGTACTTTTTAAAATCACGAGTATATTTAATAACTGTGAAATGTTATTGACAATTTGCTATAGTATGTTAAGCGTCTAGAAAACTGAAATTCAGAAAGTCAAAGTACTGCAAAGAGTTCCCAAACACTTCTGCCGCCTGAGATACCTTTGGTTACGCTGCGAGTCACAGTGGTGTTTTTTATTTCAGGCGTGAAAGTTGTTTTATCTGTCTGCAAGGACGTCTTCACAGAATGGATGACATCATCACTGAAGTCATCACTCGTGTCATCATTCTTGTTCTGAGGTGGTGGTGGCATGGTGATTTTAGGAGCACGGCCTTTAGAAGAAAAGAATTTATTAAAAATTTTTTTAGATGCTGGTTTTCCACATTTCCTTTTCAGAAGCTAGCTAGAACAGTTTGCTCTAAAGCTTCTGTTCATGTTTTATAATGAGGAAAAAAACGCCATGAATCACTAACATGGAAAGCAAGTGACTGGTGTCTTTTGATATACTTCTTTTCAAAATTACCTTGTTTATGCCTAAACTAGGTATTTTCCAGGTTAAGTGTAGTAACTTTGGAAGAAATTCGGACATTCTGTTACAGAAGGATTATACAACTAAGAAGTACTTTTTTCTCACTGAAAATACACCCCCAATGCAATGTTTGCCAAGTTCTGTCACTGCTTGTCTTGCACAGTTGAAGGGTTTTCAGTTGCCTTACCTATACTAAACTGACATCCTAGCAATTCCACTTTCATTGCAATTTTCTGGTGCCATTTTAAGGGGTTAATCCTAAAAAAGCGTGCAATAATAGGTGGAATGAAATTATTGCGAACTTCCTGGTACAACTCAGTGTTCCCCTGAAATATCTAGAAAGAAAAAAAAAAAAAAAAAAAAAAAAAAAAAAAAAAAAAAAAAAAAAAGAGACAAACATTATGTTATACAAATGCAATAGCAATTAAGTAAGTACAACTGATTTTGATGTTTTATTTAGGAAAAATAAATCCTGACAGTTCACCCCAGAACAGTGCTGCTACCCGCAAGCCTCTACTCGCTCAGCCCTATTAGGTAACTCAGTAACATGAAGGGGGGCTGTAGGTGTATGCACCCAGCTACTCCCTCCAGAACAAAGGTGCCCTCTAACACTCCCGTGGCAAAGACACCTCCCACGTTTACGGCACTGAGTAATTCTAACTCGGCCCTTTTTGGCATTTTGCACTTACTGTGCAGATCTATCTAGCAAGCAGCTGGGACAGTTCCGGAGCGGTGCCCTTCACACCGCCCAACAGTTTAAGTCTAGCCTGTCCTGCGGCTGGGTTTCGTTAGAGACAGCACTGAGACACCCACCGAAGCGTGAGGCCAGGCTGTCCTCTAGTGGTTGCAAGAGACACGGACCCGCTCAGGTTCAGACTCGGGAGTGCAGACGGAGGGAGCCCTGCGGTCCCGGAAAAGGAGAGCGAGGGCTTTGCCTCACAGCGGAGCTGAAGCTGGTTCTGCACTGAGCAGCTTTGGCTGGGTGTGAAACCAGCGAGCTGCCAGGCAAACTGTTTTTAAAGCACTGATACAGATACTTCAAATCGCGTTGGACATCACGCGGAACAGAATTACGGCACTTGCCTGAAAAATAAAGATTATAGCAAGTTTTCTGCTCGCTGACAGCCCTGGGTAAAACAATAAGGCACCCTTGCAGCTCTTAAGGACGAGCCCTGTATTGTGTAACAGCCGATGTGTCTGCATGAAACGGAGCAGTCACAAGGCTTTAGAACACTGTGATTGATGCACATCGCAAGCGTTGCAAGCGTTTCAACCTTGATACAGGAGAGAGGATATTTTTATATTGCACACCTGCATTTCTGTAACTAAACGACTAGCACACCTCTACAGGTTTTAAAGAAAACAATTATTCCAGGCAGCTATATCCATTCAAAACCCCCAAACAACCCCAGGACCTTTAAGGGACTCCTGCCGGGCTCCCCAGGGTACACAGCCTGTCTCCACTCTCAAAGGACACTCAAGCCCCACTACTATTACTTAGGAATAAAAATGCTGGTCTTGTCCTTACACAGGCATTGGGTGCCTTCATGTTTGAAAGCACTGACTGATCAAACAAACACCTAAGTCAGTTTATTTAGACACAGAAAAATCAATCTCTTGATAATTCTAATGCTGTAGTTCATGTTTGAGTGTGCTGTGTTTTCCACATCTTAAATTAATAACCAGCTCCACAACTTCATTTCATGAACTCGAAAGAAAAACAATAGGCTCAAATTAAAAGGCAACAGCTGCAAAGGTTTTCTAAGAAAGTAATCAAACTAAACATGAAGCCTCAATCTAGGTAGCTTGCTAGCTGAGATTTTATCACATGGCCAGAAGATGGCACTCGAAAACTAGCAAAACATGCTGGATTTTTTTTTCCCCCTGCCTTGAATCCTTCATACTAACAATCTCTCAGTTCGTGTGTAGGTTCAAGAAGATGGCCCAGCCCCCAGAGTAAAGTCTTCCCCTTTCAGCAAAGCCCCCTGCTGTGATTATGTTCAGTGTTCAACAGCCTCTAAATTTAACAAACAAGCTACTTCAACCTTTCACTTCATCAATAGGATGCTACATCCTACCTTGAAACATTCTTAGCCCACAGTAAACAGAAGAAAATCAAGTACAGCTGAAGAATTACCATTCTTAAGAACATCTCTGAGAAGTTACTAGGTTACTGGTTACTATTACATATATGTAATACCACAGGCCTATGGACGTAAGGTAAATTACATCCGAGAATTTTAAGAAAAAAAAATTTAAGAAAATCTGATCTGAACCACTGGGAAGATCACGTAAGACGTTACTTTTCTCATTTTTACTATCTATTAAACACTGCAAAACTGTAACCGCAGGGAAAATAGGATTATCTTGCCACAAACATTAGGTTATTTTCCTATGTGGCAAAGCATTTGCAATCTGAACATACTGTTTCATTTTTTAAGAAAACTCCCCTCTGCCAAGGCTGTTCTATTATACAAGAAAGAAACTTACCAGTATTTTGTCAAAAACTAGGACTGACAAAAATATTATAAATCATGGAAATGTATACAACCCCTAACATTTGTTCTGTAACCACAAGAGGGTAAGAACAAAACCCTTCATTTTGAAACATATAACCTATTTTTAAAGAAATCTGATTATTCTTGAAGGACGCAGTACCACAAAGCCTATCCCTGGCAACAGGAGTTTCTCGTATAGAATATTCCCATCTCCAAACAGTAATAAAAATATTCCCTGAATTTCAAAACTGTTCAGTTCCTTACATATTATTTTCCTATTTTCTTCTGCACAGGTGCTGTTTATGATTCAAAATGACAGTGGAAACGAGAGTTATTTAATGCTTCCTCACCATACCAAGATTAGTCGTATATACAACTGTGAATTCTCCGTAGAACATAGTCTGTGGTATTTTACCTTATCTTTATCCATGCCAGCTTCTCTGTACACTGTCCATTTCTGTGCATCGTTACTGTATAAAATTCTGTAGGCTGACACATAATAGTAGTACTCTGCTAAGGTTGATCCAGTAGTTATAATACCTGTGAAAATGAAGGTGGACAGTTAGACAAAAAACCTGGCAGTTTGTAAAAATTATTAGATCAGCTTTTGAATCCAGAGTTACATAGTTGGAATCTCCACTGGTCCAGTTACATTTCAAAAAGTTTATCCAAGGTGCCAGAGTCTGAAACTTCTACAGTGACTGAAACTTTAAATATTCTTTTTACTCACTTCTGTATTTTAATTCCCACAACACAACCTTGGCTCAGCACTCTTCCCCCATTTCCTGCTGGAAGCGGCCTGTTCCTTTAACCACGGCCCACTCCTGCCTCCAGCTGTCCAGACAGCACCACTCTTCCCTGCTTTGGCACCACTGGAAGAACTGGAGCTCCCAGAGCTGACACTCCGTGCCGCACACGGGAAAGCTCTTTTGTGCAAGCTTATTAGCACAGGAATTACAGCCTTCTTTAGCACAGGAATTAGAGGAGTAACATAAAATCCAAATAGTCCCGGGGAGGCAATAACAAAAGCTGCCGGTAAACCCGAGCTGCCTAACAAGCAGGAGCCAGGCTGCCGAGAGCAGGGTGTGCAGAGAAGTTCGGAGAGCAGCAACTCCTGCCTCCAAGAGGCAAACCCAAACAGATCACAGCAGGATGGTTCACGATAGTCCCAACACCCGTGACAGGCGGCAGGGAAACCTAGACATCTAAGTCAGTACATCTGTGTCCGAGAGGCACCAGTGGAGTGAGCTGCCTGCATATGGATTTCTCCTCCGGGGACGGTCAGCAGGAAAAGGGAAGCACCAGTGATCCAACAAAACCAGAGGGAACACTGCAACACATTCTGATAGAAGAGGTGTTTGCTACTGTGGAAGTCCACCTGTTCAACTCCAGGCTCCTCATTGTATTAGCGAGGACAAGGAACCAACTGTGCTGTGATGGTAATTAAGCACTACTGGAGGACAAGGATGTCAGTAACCACACTTTCTGAATGCTGCTTAAAAGCCACATCAGATTCACTTACCTGTTATTTTCTTTTCTTTATTCAAGTCAATTTGCAACCACTGATGTTCATCACTGATAAAAGCAGCCCAGGGAGGCCCAACCCTTTTCAGCCTGGCATTTGCAGGTTTCCAAATGTTCACTTGTCCCGTCTGGTTAGACCACTCAAGAATGGACGATGCCGTGATCTGAGAGTCAGGGATTACCCCGGACTCCATCCCCAGTGTCCCATAGCAACCTGAGTCACAGAAAAGGTGAGGATTCAAAAGGAAAATTGAAGTTACACAATCGTTTTACCTGCTTGAAGTTTAACACTTGACATGCAAATGAAATTAAACTGCCATCTAAATTTATTCCATAACAACACTACCAACAAAACACACTGTCTTCTGCTTTCTAGCAGTGATGCTGGAACGAAATCTGTGGTCACGAGTATCCCATGATGATGCCTGCCCAGGTGTAACATGGGGATTCTCTCTATCACCACCCACACAACGCTGGACAAGAAGCTTTGGGGGAGCTGTCATGGTATAAGAGTGTGTGTGGCAGATGTGGGAATGTGGAACAGACTACCCGATCATTTGTTCCTTTTCTGTGTCTGTATAACTTCTTTGTTTTTAAACCCACCTCAGTATCACAATGTTAATTTAAACAATACACCAAAGCATGGATGAAGCCACATCATAATCCTGCTCTTAAACACATCCCTGAAATTAGGCATGGGTTTTTGTCATCATTTTTACTGAAAGTTTCTTCCCATGTCACATTCTGCTGGTGACTAAAAAACACCTCCTAGATCCCAGCTGAATTTCCTTGTGGCAGGTTGATACCCATTTGCTCTGTGTGGAAATCTGGTTCTGTATTGTCCCCTCAGGTGGGCTCCCCAGACACGCCAGCAGAGCGCAACCTTTGCCTGCCGGCAGCCAGCCTGAACCACCCAGCCAGGGGTTCCCCTTTGCTGTGAGCTCCCCCTCTCCCTCCCCTGCACCCAGGCAGGGCGCTCATCCCTCGGGGACCCCAGACAAGGCCGCGCCAACATCCTGTGCAGTGGCGTTAATAGTTCATTGTCTCTGCTGGGTGGACTTCGGCCACTCCAGCACAGGATCACATAGCACAGGATCACATCAGCACCTCACTAACCAAATCCTTCGTCTGTCGTTGCCATCTAACGGGCTGCCAGTTTGAAGCAGAAATGCCTCAGTCTCTACGTACTGGACCTTTTTGCTCGGTGATTTTTCAATTAATTTCTATTACTCAAGTCTCAAAACCAACCAGGTCTTCCTGTACAAATAGTTTCATCTTCCTCCACACCAACCATACCTCTAGGATTAGTAACACACTCCTCTATTTTGTACCAAGTCATGAAACCAATCTTCTTACAGAACCACCACACCAGTAACCACTCCACAGCCTGATAAACCTCATTTGAGATCCTACAGAGTCCTCCTTTCCTTCTGCTAGCTCCTAGGTCACCCAACTGCATACACTTTAATCTAGAGCTGCATCTCGTCTCCAGCTTGTTCAGTGGTATCTCAAATGTGTCACTGAAATCCAGATGGTCTAGATCAGCACTTTGTTCTCACTCTTCACATTTCTAGGCTATTTAATTACTTTCATATACACTACCAGATCCCATCTGGAAAGACAAAAACCCCCAACAAACCCTGCCTTGATCACTGTGTTTAATATTCTCCATGCATAAGGTCACCAGACATGCAATTCCTTCTTCCAGCTTTTGCAGAGGTATGGGAAAGAAATTATTTGAATATTATGTGGATTGTATTTTCTACTTTTTGCTTGTTATACCCGTCAGCAAACTGGTACACATTTACGCAACGAAACACGGCAGCCCCAAAGGAACACACATAGCAAGGGCCGAGAGATGCCCTTCCAGAGTAAGAGAGACAAGTCATTTATTACCCAGTATTCAACTGCAAGAACAGGGCAAGAGAAAAAGGTAAAAGGAGGTGGAGAAGTTGAGGAATCATTTGGGGATTTCTGCCAGCTTTCTTAGCAGCAACAAGGGAAGTGTGAGGAGCAAACCTGGAAAAAACCTAGAATGGACAATTGTTATAAACGAAGAGCAACTCTTAAGCACAGCTCTGCTTTGGCGTGTGTTAAAAGTATAGGAGGCAAGTCACTTTAAACCAGACTATAGAAGAGCAATGTAACCTCAAGGCTTACTTTACACATCACTGTATCTATAAATATAGATTTAGTGATGATTAAACATCAAAATGAGATAGTAAATTTTAAAAATACACATTACCAAGGAATGCAGTAAAAAACGTCTCACTAACTAGAACAACAATTAATAAATAAAATACCTGTACACTTATTTCTACTTACAAAACTTGTATGGAAGTATCAACATGTGACCATGCTTACCGCTCGTCTTAAATGTGAAGAGGCTTGCAGATAACTGTTCCCTGCAGAGAACAAAAGAGGATGTTTTTTGCAGTAGTCGATGCGGAAAATTGAAACAAACTGTCTTCAATTTATTCTTCTTGTCTGACCGCGTGCCACTGAAACCTCTGCACATATGCCCACTCAAGCACTTCACAGTAAAGTAATGCTTCCTGTCACCAAGTTGCAGCACAAACACCTTTTCAGCTGAAATCTAGTCCAGAAATGCTGAGTTACAGGCTTTCAAAAACAGTATCTACCTGGCAAAACACAAGCCCTCATTCAAATGCTTCCTTTTTAAACTGAGCTAATCATACTAACAAGTATCCATCTCCTCTGACAGCCTTAATTCCCAGGACTTTGAGATTAAATGACAGGTTACATTCTTTTCCCTGCAACTAAAAAGCTGCCACTGAATTATTATTTTTCCACAGACCGTTGTGGTCATGCCACGCACTCTGGAAGATCAAACCTCCTTGCAGAATTTGGAAAATTAATCTTTATGGTCTAGAAGTGAAAACTATCTGTTAAATCAACCACATGGCAGGAAAAGAGTGTTGCGAGAACCTTACAGAAGAGAACCTGTCCATGGAACATGTAGATCCACTAGTTGAAATTAATCCCACGATGAGACACTACCAACTAAGGTTCTAAAAGGAGAACATAGAAAGTACACTTACACTTTTGAAGTGACATTGTTAGCCAGGGAGCCTTCATAGCGCGGGATGCCCTTGCTGATTACCACATTAATTTGGCCACCCAGAGTATTTGACACGACACCTGCATGAACGCCAGCCATACAGAGCGAGGAGGACTTGAAGAGGGGACAAAAGGATAAATTTAATACTACACTGTAAATAAACTCAATGCTACACTGTTTATTGTAAATACTACACTGTGCAATTATAGTCTTTGTTATTACTTTAAGATACTGTTCTTATATAACTTATCTCTGTTATTTAGAAACCCATTCATCTCTGGTCTATTATGGAATTTATAAAAACACAAATACAAGGTCCTACATTTCACTGTGCCCTCGCCCAGATATACTGGGAATGTAACTCCTGACATTAAATAAGCTTAAATAAACAGCAAGGTGGATCGGTCTGAAAAAGCCAGACAGTCAGGCTTTCAGCACGCAATAAATCTGTTGTGTTAGACAAAAGAAGTTGAACACATAAATACATAGAAAACCTTTTAATAGAAAGCACACTGATAGTTCATTTATTCATTTTCTCACAATTAAGGAGTGACACACTGCAGATTTTGTAGCTTTTAGCCAATGGGTTGTATTTTTTAACTCATAGTTTAAAACTGACGATATAAACCCACTCTGATCACACAGCAGCACATGAATACCCCTCACTCTGAAGAAGCTCATTGCCCAGGTCAATAGAGATCAGTTACACAGCAAGTTTTTGCAGGACATCCTGCTCTTTCCTTCTCGCCCCGGATGACTGCTAGCCTGGACCCACTGAAAAATGTCACAGTGCCACCTCCACCTCCCTGGCTACCAACTACACCAAGTCCTTTGGGCACAGCTAAGGGCGAGCAGAGCAAGATGCCTCCATCTCCTGGACCAAACCCAGTCCAGGAGATCTTCTCCAGGTGGGAAGCAACCCCTTGGAGGCCAAAGGGGCCTGACTAAGAAGCAGTTCAAGGAACAGAGGGACAGTCCAGTTCCAAAAGCAGCTTAGCAGCAAGGGCATTGCACCCACCCGCCCACCCAACATGTGCAGGCAGGTTTCTGGAGGATTACTGGCTACGCATAGGGCACCAGGCAAAGGCAGAGCTATTCACAGGCAACGTGCAGCACTAGGGCATGCACAGGCGTGGTGCAATTTTCCTCGCTCCCACCCAGTGAGGTTGGGATCAACCTGGATTTTCGAAGATCGTGTGGGCCCGAGTCTGTGAAGGGCCACCTGGGTATCTCCCAATATACCTTCCAAAAACCACATTTAGTTTGTTATTACTAGTGTGGTAACCTAGTGCAGACTTGCCCAAGGCAAAATAAACAACTGATCACTGCAGATTTTTAAATAACAGCTGCTCCCCTAAACGAAGTCCACTGCAAGCTGTTGCTACTGAACACATCCGCTGCACTGCTCAGCCAACCAGTCCATGGGTGCTACAGAGCCTCACCACAGTTCCTTAAGAAGGAACCTATGGGTTTCCTTTCCAGAGGAGGAAGGCTCCGTGGATAATTTTCTCTCTCACATTACTTTAAAAACAGAACAACCTTCTCCATTGTGGCTTCTTCATAAATAACTGCATGGTGCAGCAGGCACGTATGTCCCTGTATCTCAAGCTCAGTGGCCAAAAAACCTGCTCACCAAGACTTCACTGAACATAATTCTCCTCAGTATATCCATACATTAAAAACTCTAGACCTAGTCCCCACACCCCAAATACCCCAAAAGCTTTCTAAATAAATGGAATTAGTCTCGCTCATGCATGCAGCTCCCCTTTCCCACTCTCCCTTGAAAGTAAGAGCGTGGGACTCTAGAGCAGACACAGCTCTCTCCTCCCTGCTCAGAAGACATCGGCAACGAACACTCCAAATCCTCAAGGACTGTGGACATGAGAGTCACACACAAAAGAATCAAGATTTAGAGTATCTTTTAAAGCACAAGCAGCTGCTGATCATCTGAAAGAGATGCATGAGAAATCTCTACCTGAAATTTGTCTAAAGTGCTGGACAATTTGACTTCTTTCCACACAGCTTGATTTCTGGGAAAAATCTCTGCCTTTTTATTCAGAGCAATAAAGTACATAAAAATAAAAGGGCCTTTATTTCTGAAAGTTTACTTTTTCCTCCACAGAAAACAGTTTTTCCAGATTCTGGCAAAAAAACCCTACAACTCTTACAGATGCTGCAAATATGTTAGGCAGAGAATCAACTTCATCTTCTTACTAGATAGAAAAATTACCTCGCAGCCATTTAGAGAGGACTCACTGTGGACCAGCACATATAACACAGTGATGCTGTCATGACATTTTTACATATGGGTAATTATTTAAGCAGATAGCCTAGGATTTGCAGATATTTGAGAAAAGAAAATCAGAGGCATCTTTTAGGCTCATATTAAAATCTTTTTAACAACATTTTATAATCGTCTTTCCTCTGTGCTAGATCTAATCCCTTATTAGAAGGGTATTTTAAAACAAACAAAGATTCCATGTAATTTTTTACTAGATTGCTAACAAAATTATAATCACTTAAACAAAGCAAACACTCTCCATTTATATGGCGAGTATTCAGTTCCAAAAGCTTACACAAACAGTGTATAGGTTTTTGTAGTATTCCAAATAGTACATTATTGAAGATTTTCATTTCCAGTTCATAGAACTATTAATGTTGCAGTATAAACTCTGTTTTGCAAATTGTTCTATAGCTTCTGAGCATAAATAGTATTTCATCTCCCATGTTGTAATAAAAAATTAAGGTAGCCCTCTGTTTAGAGGCATTACAGTGTAAAAACCAAGAGGACGTCATTAAAAGAACCGTTTTTTTCTATATAATTCTGAATTGCCCAACCTGAGAAAGCCAAATAAACAAAACAGCAAGTAGAAAACAGTATTTTGATTGATCCACCCATCTCAGTAGGCCGCACAAAAATCTGAGTCTCTACTACACTTCATTTCTTGAAGATGGCAATATCTGAAGCAGCAGCCACGGCTGTGCAAAAAAATGAGTACCAGGCTATTCACTTTAGGAGATATAATTTTCAGAACCCAGGCACCAGAACTAATGTGAACAACTATAATTCGCTCGTAATTATACGATGCGTGTTGTACCAAAATTCAGGTGAGCCCATGGTATTTCTACTTACGTCTCTGTATCCATGGGGAATAGTGCCTGAAATATCAACAAAAGGAATCACACATCCAGCTGGACAATACTTACTGGAAGAAAACAAAGTATCAAGTCAAGATATGCATGAAACTACAATCTTATAAAGCAGTCACTATGTTTTTGATTTACAATACACTGTTATCATTCATGTCTCTATTTAAGGATCTATCCTAATAGAAGACGTAGCAAATCAGACAAAAAAAATATTCAGGGAGACATACACAACAGGAGAACAGATATTTGAATATTTTTTTTTTTATAAGTCTAAACTGAAAGTACAGTTCCAGTCTCAACATAATAAATTAACAAAACCAGCATTTTATAATGTAAATACTGCATGGCTTCTGTAAACTGAAAGTCATATAAGTACCAATATTAATGAATTTTATAAGCTAGAGACCTGCGTATTATTTGTTTTGCATCTTTAAATAATACATCTGAAAAGTAAAGCTATTTTATAATAGCTCCTGGCAACAGCAGGACATCATAAAAAACTGGCCAAATCCAGTAAATACCACTAGCTCCTGAGAAGCAAGAGGCAAGACATCTGAACCTCTGATTCAAGCCTGCGTTCACCTTCTAGTGCCATTTCATACTGCACATACAAAGACTCTTAATTCTTCAAGATTCATTAGTGAACTGGAGTCAGCTATTAACATTTTCACTGCAGTTCAACAACAGCTGAAGCAACGCTGCAGGTACCACAAAAATAGCAGGATTCAGAGACTTCAGCACATGTTGAGTAAGGTCAGAACCTACAATTAGAGCCCTGCTTTGGAACTTGGGATAATGAAAGAGAAATGCAAAGGTTGCACTTTGAAATGTTCCATGATACCAGGGCTGAAGTTCTCCAAAGTAAGTTTATGTACTTCACAGTAGTCTGCAGCTTTAAACACTGTCCTTGCTTTAGATGGAAAAAGAGAAGGAGAAAACGGGGGAATGACACGTTTTCCCCATCAGAAAGTACAGCATTTTACGTCTCCACAGAACCTCATTAACTCACACCAAACCGTGAAATAGGTTTGTAACTTTTAACACATTTCATAGTTTAGTGCTCCTTAGGTAACTGTAATACGAATTTCAGTATTTAAGGTGTCTACCTGCTGTAACACGTGCTTATAAAAGCAATATTCTATGGGAATTAGGTATTACCTCCTATGCATAGTGCATATTAACACGGTTCTACTGTATTCTGCATGTAAATAACAAAAATGGGAGAGAGAGAAGGAGGAGTAGTGCAAACGTCAGAACTGTTCACTATAACCCTAATGAATCTGTTTCTGGAGTTCTCTGGACAACCAATTTTCAAGCTGCATCAGGTGTAAGTAACAGAGTGAAGTAGAAACACTAAAATGGCTTTATTAAAGAGATTGGGGGTAAACAGGTAAATCAATCTTACTTGAATTCTGGTTCGGAAAAGTGACTTGCATTGTCTAAACAGGTAATTAGGTCTGGAAAGAAAAAATGTTAGGTCAAGAGGATGATAAAGACAACAAGTTTGACTATGCTTTTCAAAGTGCACAAAAATACACATTTGAACCTCTGTAGCTTAACCAAAAGTCTCAGAATTGAAAAAAACCCACATTTTTACTAAATTTCCTTGCAACAGATTTTGTATTACGGTAGAACCTTGATAATTTGTCTGAGTAACTGGGAAATCTGCTGAGAATGTGACATAGACAAGAAGAGAAACACAATAATTCATTTTCTGTGCAGTTTAATTTTGATTTATAGCTATACTTCGGAGAAGCTAATATAATTCAGACACAAACATACGCTCTTTTCACAAAATTAAATTAATAAGCTAGCTAAACAGGCCTGTGTTTTCAGCATTTAACAGTCCTACAGTACTGAAACCAGGCAGAGTAGAAAACAAACATTAGAGTGCCATGTCACTGGCATCCACAACTGCTACCTCAAATCTCATGTGTCCATCTGCTGTGTATCAGCACATACAGTCCAAAATAGAGAGAAAAGCATCAGAAAATAAAAAAATAAAAAATAAAAAAAAACCTCTTTATCTGCTCTTTTTAGAATTACTTCTAGAAAGGGTTTTCTCATGCCTTTTGCTTTGTGAAGCAGTTGCTGACAATCCTTCCAACCATGTATGTCACTCCCTCTACAGTAAGTGGAAGGAGATGCAAAACAAACACAGCAACCTCTTTTAGAGGCTAGAATCACCAAAAACATGGAAAAAACCCAAGAAATGGCAAAAAGACTAAAAATTATTCAGCAGACTACACAATAAAGAGCCGAGTGAGTATAGGATACTGTTACTGAAATAAAATTTTCCACGAGGTTGGTCTTATAAAATGTATACAGTCCAATAAGGAAACTTGGTAGTTAAGTGACACCTTGACTATGACCTGAAAAAAACACATGTTGTCCTTTATCTGAAGCAGCTCTTTCATTCATAACAGATAACTGTGATTCTTCCTCTTCCTCTTTTGATATAATTTCTTTAAAACTACAGTAACTTAGAGTAACTGACAGCCCAATTTCCTACACAGCAGTCTCAGGAAGACTGTATTAAAACACTTCATCTTTAGAAGTTAATTTGTGAGAACAAGGGAATAAATAAATTAGTTCTGTGTTTCTACGTGACAGCTCTTAATTTTACCAGCACAAAAAAATTACCAAATAATTATAAATACCTGATTTGTCAGTGGTTGAATAAGCTGCAAGAAATCCACGTCCAGAAGTGTGTGTTCCACTCATGAACTGTACTGTGACTTCATTGCTTTTTGAAGTAATTAAACCATCCATCTGAAAGCCAAACCCACAGTATTTTCCTGTGGAGAGAAGGGGGAGAACAGACATGGACCAAAACCAGCACAGGTAATAAGCATCCTACTTCATTTGCAGTGTAAGCTCGCATCACTTCTGGCATATATCCAAACACAAATACATGTGCATGACATTAAATAATGTAGTCAGTGTCCATTTAAAGCACACAGCAGAACATGGGTACCACATCTGTTTTGTCACTGTCAACAGGTGAGTCTCTCATAGCCTTAACACTTGCCAATAAATGTGACTTTATCCCGTCACCTCTAGCCATGCATAACCCTCACGGTCAGTTCTTCAAAGACCATGAGAAATCTGTCAAGAGAAAGGATCAACTTAGGGCAACAAGAATCATCTACAGAAGCAAATGAGAAAAAAGCCCTTCTCTTCCCTCAGCTGTTGGGGCACTTCTTCCTTGATGACTCACCTTTTCATAGTTTCTGTCAACTAATTTTCTTAATTTTGGACAACAGCAGGCATGATTTACTGCACCTCAGCATTAACATCCAAGCATATGCAAGTACCATTAAGATAAGCTCACCCTATGTTTTGCTGCACCTACAAAACCTAACAAAGGTTCTGCATCTGGATATTTCTCTTCCCACCCAAAATGACCAAATACCATACATTTTTAAACTGAGATGCTGGAGTCTGCAGATATTGACAGTATTCGCCCATGAAGTCCTAGAATTACTACCAAATGACTTTACCTGGATGAATGGCTGTTAAACACACCCAAGTAAATATGGAATTCTCCAGTCCTAGTAACTAGAAACTTTAATACATTACTGATCAGTTTATTAACCTGATAAGAAAAAAAAAATCTGCTGTTCTATATACTCCCTTGATCATTCAATATTCTCTCTGTAACCCTATTTAGGATTCTGCAACAGATAATCAAAGTGGATAATCACCAGTAGCAAGTGACGCTGCATTGTTTCAGTTTAGTATTCATTTATTTGCTTTCTTGATAGTAAGTATGTTATCTTATTGTAAAATAGCAAAAATAGAAGCCAACTCCCTTGTCAACTGAAGGCAAATTACACTACTAAAGCAGAGGGAGTAAAGCAATACTGCCCTGCAGGAATAGTTCGTAACAAATATAATACAAAACATTTAACACAAACAAATATAATGTATATGTTAAATTCCTTTAAAAAGGGACCTGCACTCTCAAATACTAGTAATTTTTTTTAAATCAGAAGTACAAATTCCTATCATTATTCAGAGCCTTCTAAATGTTGCTTAATCAGATATTTCTGAACAAGGGTATTTTCTAATGAAAAAACAGAAAGTAGATTTTACAATACTTCAACAAAATTTATAATACTATATAAATATAACCTTATCTCAGTTCACTACTTCAACTTCTTATCAGCAAGAATTACAAAGAAGTTCCCTTTTACCAAGGCTCCACAATGACCCTGTGTTTTGCTCTAAGTCACATTTCAATTATAAATGGCATTCATTAGGGTGAACTACATCATTTTTCAAACTACCATTACCACTCTTAAGTTTTATTTTCAGCCACTGGACCTCGTTACACGGTTGACTAGCATGAGACTGCTCTCAGAGTAGGTCAGACTGTCCTCAAGACACCATTTATCCTCCTCTTTGGGCAACACACAGGACAAGTTATTTAAATCTAGCTTGGATAAATTCTCTTGTGCTGCTTGCACCATGGAGACAGAGCCTTTGACAAAGTGTAGACCAAGGCACCTTATGATTTATAGTCTCAGAAATATCATTTTCCTAACTCCTCCCTGGTCTCTCTCTGGATTTTTAGCAATCTCTTCCAAAAGCAGGCACTAGACAAGGACAAAACATGCCTGCCATGATGCCTCTGTCTACAGTACGTGCAGAAGATCAAATATTACTATTCTGTCTGAAGGACCCCAAGTGCTTTTGTACAGCAACATCGCAGCAGGAGAGGGAATTCCCACAGTAGCTACCTTCTCTGCTCCTATAGGTCTGGGCTTACATAAGTACATCTGACTGTAGATGCACATTGATTGGACTGTGATCAATCTGATGAAAACCAACTCCAGATCTTATTTAAAGTGTCCTGGTTCAGCTAGGACAGGGTTAAGTTTCCCCAGCACAGAGGGGGAAGGGATCTCCAGCCAGGTTATTCATACCATGCTGATGTCAGGAACAGCACAGGAGTGCAGGAACTTTTTCCTTTGTGGCTTTGGTGGAGGGGAGCACGGGGCTGTCCACTGCAGTATTTCTCTATATATCTTTTGTCTTGTTTACTGTTATTACTGTTTATTGTTGTTATCATTGCTGCTGTTGTTGTTCAGATTGTTTATTACACTGTTGTATTAAATTTCTTCTTATTTTAACACGGGGTTTGTGCCCTACTTGTGTCCGAGGGTGGGGGAGGGACAACGGCAACATGGTCTCTGGTCCCGGCAGTAAAGAGCAACACAGTAAAGACAAACTTAACATGAAGGATTTGAATCTTCTTTTGATTTATTGATAAATATCCAAAGGGCAATGAGAACTAGTCATTAACACCTTCATTAGAAACCTTCTCTGTTTATCAATGAACTAACCCACTAACAATTCATTTTTTAATCTAATCAGTCAATTTTTAAGTCATTTTGTTTTAAAAGTAGGTATCACTGAATTTCAGATTTTATGTAATACAAGTATTTTAATGTTAGATCATGTCAATGGTCTTGAATTGAAAAACTGAAGACAAATCCAGATTTCTTCCAAACAAATTCAAGTCACTGTTTAATCTCCCTGGTGTTAGTCGCTTCAAACATGAACATTCAACAATCTGTATCATCTGTATCTTGCCACTGTTAATACCACTGTTTGTTCTGTGATTTAATTTATTAAGAGCAGAACAACACACACATTTTGCTCAACATACTGTGCTACTACACCGGCTGGAAACAGCTGAAAGTCAAGAGAAACAAATGAAGTAGAAAATTTACTTGCATCCATTAAGTCACTTGTAAAAGTGAGTAATAGACTTATCAGAACTGGACGTTCCTTGGCATTTAAGGACTTCAGCATTTCCTATTTCAGACCACGTCTGGCTCCACAACTCCAAGCACATACTTATTCTCACACAGACTTACCTAGGTAACAGTTGGAAAAGAGGGTTAACAAAGCTAACATTCCACTAAACTCTTTACAAAAAGACTCAATTTAGTGGGATTGGCATTTGAGCTGCACAAAACCAATCCTCATGAACTAAGTCTCTTTCTCTCTATCCCCAGATTAAATCTTTAGGATAGAAAATAAAATTAAACTACAAAATAACAGTAATTTTAGTGAAGAAAGAATGACAATTTGAGTTTTATGCAAAGTAACCACAAGGGTCTTAAAACCCTACATACACCTTGATGTAGATGATAACGTCACACTGCTATTTGAAAAAGCCCTGCCTTATATTCAAGAAATTCAATTTGTCCTCTTAAAGAGGGAAAAAAATAAACTATGAATATTATAAGAAGATGGGGGATATTTGAACTACATAGCTTTTGAAACCTGACATCCTTTATTATGATCAAGATGAACAGCTCAAAACAAAGTAATTCTATATATGAAGAAAGGCATTTCAGATAGGATATAATTTTTTTATTTTTTTTTTTAAATGAAGATCCTCATAGTTTTGCGGTTCCCTCTCCACTGCTTACAAGAACTTTGCAAGCTACTGGGAAATGTCTGAGGAAAAAAAATTACAGTGGAGTGTCCTTTGAGATACTGAAGAATCCAAGATTATTATAGGATCTCTGTTGCATTTAGCATCTAGTTGTATGCATAAACAAAATGTAGGATATTCTGCTATCATTATTACTCATCATTTTTTCAGTACATTTTAAGGATATAGGAATTGTGTCAAGCAGAGAGATTTTTAGATACACTTTAGTAACAGTAAACAAAATGCAACTACTTAAGCATAATTATATTATGAATACTCTGGCATTCCAGAGAGTTCATCTACTGGGCAATAATGGCAAGCATACTTGAAATGAGCAGTCAGCAGAGAAAATCAGACTGCTGTTTTCTTTACCACTTCTATTTTTATAAAGTTACAGCTGCACCTGTACTCCCTCCCTGCACTGAAGATCTATATAGCATACAGGAGAATCCTTCCTTAGCTGTGCTTTCTAGCAGTACTATCAGCAGTGCATTTACTCAAAACTGGTCCCTGATGGCTATTTTTCTACTGTGGTGAGGTACTCGCAGCACTCCTCAAAGTTTTGCAGGGTTTGCTTGGGTATTGGGATTTTGGTAGCAGGGGAGGGGCTACAGGGGCAGCCACTGTAAAGACTGAGATTCCTATAAATAACAAACACTTCCTTTTCATCACTTCTCATAAGACTCAAAATCCACACTGTACATATGACACATTCAGGCAAGGTCTTACCCTGCCCAATATCCCACTCAATTATTACAGTTTTCTAGGGCTATAAAAAAAATTAAATTAACTAATACCATATGCCAAGTAGTTACTCTAGGCTCAGAGCAGGTAAACAAGGAGAAATTGTAAAAATAACAAAAGTACCAACAGTATATCCAAGTTCTATACAAGACGATAGCTTTCAAATACCAATAATAAAAGCTCCTACCTATCTCTGTCCTGGTGGGGCCAATCCCATTGTGAACTCTTAAGTAACTGGAATGACAAGAATCTGAGTCATCAATGTCAAAATCACCAAATTTGAGTTGAATTCGCTGCCCAGGCTTTACACGAATTTCCCATTCACAGACTGTGCTATTGGGAGAGGTTTGTGGATAGTTTATTGAAGCAAGAGTTCCACTTTCAGGACCCAGGATGGTGTGTCCACATCCATCACCTGCAAAAGAACAAAAATAAATCAGCTACACACATTCACCATCAAAGCTTCTCTGGTGATTCAGTCATCCTGGTTTTCAGGAGAGGTGTAAGATTTGGTGGGTTTTTAACCATACTAATGACACTGCAAGAAAATGCCAAGGTAAACTGCATGCAGATGGAACAGCAATTGTGAGAAAATACCATGCAACTAATGTTGCCTAACAGTTAGCCTCTCATCACAGGCGACCAGAAAACTGCTACAACTTCAATGAGAGAAAAGTTCAGCCATAACGACTTTAAAAAATTGCACAGAAAGTGTCCCTGCTATTTCATGTTCCCTCAACACCTGTGTACAGAATAAAACCAGTTCTGAAAAGGAGGGAGAAAACTGCCAATAAAACAAGAGCACATCAGATTCGCTGTTGTTACTATATTCACAACACTATGAAAAAGGGCAGAAGACACCAAATTCTCTACTGAAAATAACTGCCAGGTCTGACCAAACTGCTAGTGCATTGTCTTCTACTACCACAATTTTAATGCTGTAATTAATTCTTACAGCTCTTTAGAGAACACTCAATTTTTCTGGATTTGTACAATAAATTAAATTATAACTCCAACCTGGAGCCCTCTACCTAACATTTGAGTATTAGTTAAACATCTGTAACAGTACTGAAGAGGACTTATTTAACAAGTGGAAAAAAATAGCACAAATTGTGTATTCTTAAAATCAAATTATAAGGAGCAAACTGATAAATCTATCTAATCAACAGCTAGACATTAATTTCCTCCAACATGTAGTACAAGAAGTATAAGAATTTGTGTGGTGTTTTGGAAATAAGAATGTTATTTAAGTAACATTCGCCATCACTGGCTCTTTATAAATCACTGTATCAAGATGAAAGTGTATTCCTGAGCACAAGGCCACATCCAGCAAAGTTAACTCCTGAAATAACTTAAGCTCCACAAAATAAGCCTCATAACATCTCTGATTTATTTTTATTCAGACTGGATGCTAAAAAACCTCTGTATTTAATTTAGTTCTATGAAATGAGCAAGCCAGGAACAGCACTGTCATTTTCAAGATGTGATACTAGAAGGTCCAGAGATCTTTTGAAAGAGATCTGTACACATTATCCTAAAAGCAATCAGGACTTTCAAGATCTTGAACACAGGAATATAAGCAAAAATAGCAAAGACAAAAATCTCATTAGTTATGGTGCTAAAAAATCTGACACCACTCCAAATACAGGTCCAATGTAGGTCCATTTCACGCTTCAAAATTCATGCCTGTGTATACAGTTCGTATTGAGTGATTATGACAGATTTAACATTACGTCAAGATTTCACACTCTAGAAATCCACAATGATCAACATCATTTGTCTTGACAGGTATTTGTTTTGACAGCTAAAAGTGTCAGTCCGAAAGCATTTCACATTACATACTAATGTGTAGGTCCTCTACTAAACACAAAAAGGTAAGCTAAACTTTAGTGACAAAAATTATACAACATATTTAAGAAACTAGATTTCAAAATTCTTAAATGTATTTCACGCAGGATTGGATGGAAAAGTAAGTCCAACGCACTGCAGTAACATGGCAAAAATAAACTGTGGTACTTAACTAGGTCTGATTAACCAGTTTGCAAAAGCACCTAATTTCTAGTAACCAAAGCTCTTTACAATCTGAGCACACTGAAAGACTGCTAGCTCCATGTTCTAAAAGCTAAAGTGCTGCTGTTATATACGTTATCACAAACAGATGTAAACTTCAGCTTTTTCCCTTGCTAGCAATCTTCAGTCAAAATGATGCATCTTCTTTGAAAAACATAACTGGAATATCTGCTTCAGTAAAATCAAAAGTTCTAGCTGTAAAGCTCTTGTTTTTCTTCACCCAATTGTAGCAATTTGCTTTAAAACACTCTGTTCCATGCCATGACAAATACTATTTTCATTTGAGTGGCAGCTGATAAATTACTTTCCTAAATTACTGTTGTTCCAATACATGAGAGTCGATTGTCCAACATTACAAAGAGGTAACTTAAACCGCATGTTTTGCATAACATTTTAATCCTGGTTTCTTTCCAAAGGTCTGCTACAAACCTAAGAGTAAGTGGAAGATTTATCATTCTAAACCTGTATGGCCTTGGTTTATTAGTGAATAAAAATTTAAATACCAGATTCCTTATTAGTCACAATACGCTTAACAGTCAAGAAAAATACAGATTCCTTTGCTAGTAAACTGGCTTTTCACAAGACAGTACTCACATACATTACAAAATACATGGAACTTCTTGTAACTACTATAAAAACAAAAACTATATACTAGGTCTTTATGCATGGTGGTATTTGTGGCTAGTATGTTAAAGCTCTTCATACTGCAGACATAAACCATTAACTTTTGACATGAGCAGCAGTCACTTTTAGGTTATGTCTTAAATAAAAACAATGAGCCAGTTAAGCAGTTCTGTGCCTTTCCTATCCCATGACAGGGATAAGCCACTGTTTCCTCATTTACAGATTATACAGTGGCCTTTTGAACATGAACTCATAGTACCTTTCACCTGTACGAGCAGACACATTGTTCCAAGTGCATTTTAAAGAAAATAAAAATGCTTGCAGGATCTACAACACTCAGTAGTTAAATATTCCTCGTTTCAGTGGGCCTGTTATGGCAGTGCAGTAACCACACAAATGCTCTCTCTTACAACCAGGAAGAGCAATAATGGCTATGATTGTGTATCTTTGATTCTTCCCCACACTTTTGTATCTTAAGCCTATGCTGCAGGAAGCCAAAGACAAAGGAGAGCTTGAGTGTCTTCTTTGATCCAAGCCGCACTTTAACTGTAAATTTCTCCAGTTATAAGTAGAAAAGACCATCCCTAACATTCATTTAAACCACCCATTCATTTGAACACACATTTAAACCACTAGTTTACTGTTCAGCTGTCTCAAACATGAAACAATACTGGAACTGCATTTGTATGATGCTCAGGGCACACCTTTCTGATGAGAAAAAGAATGCCAAACATGCTCTTACACCTTTAGGTGGTAAAATGCAAATAAAACATTTTAAGTTTTAAAAAGACATCGAGACTTTTCTTTTAAAGACACATTACTAAGAAATTCCCCCTTGTAGCTTGGAACAATCAGTCTTGTCCTGTGACTAGATAGAAAAACTTTCTAATCCGTCTCACACAATTTAATGGGAATACAAATTCCAAATCTCCCTTTTGTTCCAGACTTTCTTGAAAACACATGAGGAAAAATATTCCTCTGAGAACCCGCTGTCAAATCATACTAGAAAGGAATGGAAAGGAAAAAAAGTTGTGCTGAACCACACACCTACAGTACCATCTTACTATGAAGCTGATTTTTGAAAAGTAGCTCTTTCTGACTGGACATTTTAGACCTCATTTTGTTGTGTGTTTCACTTAGGCTGGTGATAGCAGAAGTGCCAGAGACTTCATGCCTGAAGAATTTAAAGATTACCATTGTATGTCCGGCATGCAGTACACTGTCTGCCAAGAGCAGCACTATCATTCAGGAGCTAGCTATTTGGAAATTTCTAAAAATCGCACTTCCAGTGAAACTTACAGAACAACGAAACTTCCATTTTATTGATACTATAAAAGGGTAGTTTCTTGAGCCTCTCTGTAAGCGGTTCTTCATCATTTATGCCAAAGTTGTATAAAATACAGTGATCAACTCCAGAGACATATATATTCATCCTATATCAGGGGAGCAATCTGCAATACTCAGCAATTTCTCCAAGAAAAAGAGAAAGTACAATTCTTTGTACCACAGCCAGTTATATACAAGCATTAGTTACTTCACTGATTTAGAAGTAATTCATTAAGTGCCACAGAATCCTTTGCTTCTGTTAATCTAAGTGCATGAGTGGAGTATCTGAGAACACACAGAAGAGACAGAGGTCAATTCCTAAATCATTTTACTCTTAATCAATTACTCCTGAATAGGCGACAACTAGCTGTGTACTGACAACAGAAAAGGAAGGAGTCTCTTGCTTTCCTTCAGCCCTCTGTGTCACACAACAGACCTACTGTACTTGCAGAACAGATCAAGCTCTTCCCAGAAGCACCAGATCACTTGCATATACAGATTACACCTGACATTTGCTGGAAGGTCTGCGGACATGCATTGAATTTCACATGTCCTGAGGATCATGTGTCCCGAGGGCCATGCTCACAGCAAACTATGAATAAGCTCAGCTCTTCACCAAAACATGGTGTATTAGAAACATGGGCGCCTCTCAAGAAGCTGGTAGAGGAAAGCAGACTGCTGTCGTCAGGAGAACCATTCATCTCTTCTGCAGGCGCCTTCGAATGCAGTCTGGATGAATTATCCTGACAGATTACATATGACCCCTGGGCTGTGGCATGCTGATGGTGACGCAATCACGCAGATGATTTAGAAGATTTCTCATACCCAAGTTCTTTACATCAACAAAATACGGAACTTGAACCAACACAAACATACCAAAATACATTGGGATAAGAAGAAAATGTGAAATTTAATGAGAGGATACTGCACATGCAGGAGTGGGTGTTAAGTACTCTATTAATACCCAGAAAAAAAGATTAATTATTCTTTATAGTTGTTGAACTCAATTAATCAGAACTTTTTCCCCGAGACTGGTTGCTGTTAGTGACTGCTAATCTTGTTCTCACTAGCAAAACATGTTAAAAATCAATCTTTAAAACTAGAGAATGCTTTCCCATTCCTTACTCAGAGAAGAGAGAATGATAAAATAAAGACATCAGACAGTTTAAGGTTACAGTCTATAAGGCACAACTGATGCATATCAAAAAACACTGATCTCAAATTTAACATATGGCACTGCCTTCTGAACTGACTCCATCTAATCAGTGGGTTTCCTAAGGTTTTACATGTATAAACTATGATTTTCTGTAAATTTGTGACTACATACAAGATGTAATTAAATCTTTCCTAACAAAGCAAAGGTAGAACCAAATCTGTTAGGAGTGATGTAAACAAAAAGGTATTTTAAAGCATTCAACTCCAAAAACACAACTCTTTCTGATTCAATGAGCTACTAATTCTCCCCTTAGCTCCTGTTTAGCTCCTGTACTTTTATCAGTGTGCCACTAAAAGACACTACACCTACTTTTTACTCTTCTCAGCATGGGCAAGAAAAGTTTACACAGCCAACAAAGCAGTTCCTTGAATAAGAAACACTGAGGAATTAAGATCACAGAGACATCAAATTCTAAATAGCTTTTTCAAGTATTTTCAAATGCCCTTGTTTGCATCCTCCAAACTCATTGCTGTTTACACCAAAATCCACAGAACCATGTTCTTCAGGAAGAAATCTGGTCCTCTGTTAAAATTAATTTTCTTACCAAGCCAACAAGCACGCATTCCACCGTCACCTTTATGCCATTTATCTGCCTCAGTAACACACTGGTTTGAGCGTTTCATCCCATTACAGATGATTCACATCATAAAATACCCCACACTTCCACAAGGGAGGCCATAGCTCAATAAACACTTGCAGGCACCTTAAATTAGTGCAGCCACAGACAAAAGCAAGCCTTGTACACTTCTCCCTTTTGGCCACTTGTTCTCACACCCTTCCTGGTACTGGAGGTAAACACTTCTGCAGCCACATGGTAAACCAAACCAGGGACTTGAGATAAAAAGAGCTGATAGTTTTAACTTAGAGCAACCCCCTAATTTATTTTAGTGTGCCCATCCAGTGGTGCCTTCCCTGACAGAGGGACAGGACAGCACAAGTACGGAAACACAAGCAACTGCTTCTTCCACCAGCACTGCCAGCCCACATCTGCATTTTAACCTCGACTCCCAACCAGAAACCATCCTTCCCCTGGGAAGACCAGCCACACAAAGAGTGGTGCACTGGCTTCAGGAACTGAGCTGGCTGAAGACGAGCCAGTGCCCCTGCCCGTTACCACAGCCCAGGGTTAGATTTCAACCAACTCGCCTCTCTGAGGCAGCTCGTTGTGCAACTGCCAGTGGTCGGGCAAGGAAAGGAAGGCAGGTGGGATTAGGGTTGTCTCAGCTTGGATTGATTTACTTGCTGTGGGGCACCCTTAGAAGGGTAACAAAGTTACAGACTGAGCTTTAACAAAGATAGGAAGAGGACAAAAGGTAAAGCACAATAAGCATTTTGCCTTTCAAAACATTGGCAGCTCAGTGGGGGGAAGGAGACAGGGGGTGATTCTTGCTCTTATAGCAGAAGTACAAAATTTAAGATGTCATTACAACAAAAGTTTACTGTTTTCATTTACAACGCTAGCCACACGCTGGGCTAGTGATAATTAGCACTTTATTATTTTCATCTGTACACAGAGCTTTTCAATCACCATCTCTGGAAATGAAATCTTAGCTTTCAGCCACTGAATTTTACACAAGAGAGTAACACAGCCTTGCTAAATTTAACATCCAAAATACAGTAACATTTTAAAACAAATTATCTCAAATTATTAAATTGTCAGAGCAGGTAAGACATTTGCTTCCTCTGATATCATGTACTAACCAAACCTGACTATTTCAAAAGAACATTAAAGAAAGATCAGCTGTATAAGACTGAGCTGCAGAGCTCTTGTTTACTGATGTCCGGGAAATTATGTGAATTAAGTCCCCAGGGATAGCTATGACTTGCTTCAACAGCATGCAGGCAAAAGCAGCCTATAAAGACAGGCTAGCCGTGGTGAGAAGTGATTTACAAGAGGACTGTTACAGAGGGCTCCTGCATTCAATGATACATAATGCAGAAGCCCTCCTGATCCCCTGCCCATGCTGAATCGCAGTGACAGCTCATGCTGTATGTTGTCTTTTGTCTGGCACATGCAGCTTGCCCACTTCCCAAGACATATCATTTACTTAGCGATCTGCACCAACACGTTCATAAAAATAAACACTGTTGTGATTCAGTGCTCTAAGCACTACACAGCAGAAACACAGCTGATGAAGGAAACAAAAAATAACACACAGACAGTCATGCAAAAACTCTACAAGAATAAGCAGCAGCAATGATAAGAGTAAGCTTCAAATCTCCTGTACAGTCTTCAAAGTCCTCACCACACCAGAATCAAATGAAATTTCACAAGTTTTACATATGTCAGCAAAGGAGCAAAAAATTCTCCAATCATACCAGTAATTCCCATGCTAAATTAATACCAGTCACCTTTTTCTCTCTTCCATTATCAGTTCATAAAGCAGATGGCACAGCCTGTGCTGCAGACCCGTGGTGGCATACACTGATGGAGATCCCAGCCACTGCTCTACCACCCTGCCTTCTAGAAACAGCTACGACTGACTGCCCTGCCCAGTGCTTATCCTACCCTCACTAAGCTGTACAGCCATTTTGTACTAGTTTACCATCCTACCTGCCTTCTACTGAGTAAGGGTACGGGCATGGGTCAGCAGAAGTCTAACAGTCACTGGAGCCTGCGCAATGGAGAGGATGCAAGGTAGGGATATGCAGCAGCCAGCAGTAAAGATCATGTTTGGCTACTGTGGAATCAACATAAAACAGCAGGAAGGAAGCTGATGGTTTGTGTACCTGAACAAAAAACAGTGGGGCATCTAGATGCTTTCAGAAAGAAAGCCTCAAAAACCAGTTGAATCATTTGCCCCCTATAGCTGCACCAAGAACAGTAACTTTAAATATCAGTTTCTAATCCTCTTTAAAGTTTGTCATCCAACTGATGAAACAGTAACACTCCACATCTCTAAAGCAGTATTTCCTTCTGCTGGTGTAGTGACATACAGCATCATCTTAATTTCTAACACTCGTTTTCAACTCAATTTCAAAATTATGATGGGGACTGTTTGGGGTTTTCCCACTGTGAACAACCTGACCTCATCGTAGTGTCACAGAATATGACACACAATCTGTTCTAAACGGTTATTCATTCCTGATTTTGCCTTGTAAATGTTCCCTTGAAAGGTATTCTCACACTTGTGACCCTCGACAAATCCAATCAATAAACCAAACATTATGCACTACTGAATAGTAAGAGGATTAACTAGGAAGGTGACAGTAAACTTACACACTTGAGACACTGGTTTTTAAGTGCCAAAGTATAATAACAAAGTTATAGAAAGAGCATGTAGGAAGTCAGTAGTGTGTGAAGCTCCAGTAAAAACCTTCTGTGAACTTTAAATCTGCCCATCAGTTTGCTCTAACTTCTTCACAGCAAGGAGGAAAGGATGCCTTCTGTTATACAGCTAGAAACTTTGAAAACAGCTCTTTAAAAATGAAGAGATAAAGCAATGAAAATGCTTTAGTCAGTGTTTTCAAAGTTCGAGAAAAAGATAACTGATCACCACTAGACTTCACACGTGAGTGTTCAAAAACATTAAACTGAATGCATCTCTTTCCACTCTTGTGATAATGAGACATATTTTGACTGAAACAACTATAATTGCTGTTTCTTGGAGCGCAAGTAAGAGGCCTGAAAAGATTTCCTCTTCACAGTTAAGCAACATTTGAGGTTTTAGGAGTACCCAATCTAAGTCTAAGAAAACCACAAATGAGTCACCGAACATGAGGAGAAAACATCATTTCAGGATGAAAAATAACTGACGTTTTGTGAATCTGGAATAATATGAAAGATTTATTTACGAGCTTTGTTTAAATGCCAGACCAAGATCAACAGTATTACTGTAATATCACTCTGGGAAGCTTTTACACCATCATCTTTTCTGAAACTGAGACACGCACGAGTTATCTGCTCACAACCATTTACAGAAGCATACCAAGCTTTTCCAGTTCCCTTTTCCACCACTAATAATATTCCTCAAGGATGTATCAAACTGTTATCTCCCTTGAAACTTCAAGTAAAGAACCAAGAAAAAGTGTATTGTTTCAAGAAATGCTTCTATCGGAAGAACTGCTGTGGGGGAGAAAAGTTAAAAGAGAATCTATGTGGCCTCATGTACAATACATCAAATTTCAGCAAGACTGATGATCCAAAGTGCAGTAGCTGCCAGGATGATCATTCTGATGGATACTATTCCAATCCTGGATGACAAAACCTCTTCCTTGAACTAAAAGTAAATCTGAAAAGAACTTCAAAAATCTGTGAGGAAGATTTAGAGGGGAGATTAACAAGGAATGTCATACAGTGGGGAGGGGAGTGTTTAATAAAGCAT